TTCTGCTTAGATACTTAATGATTAACATTCTCCCCATTCTAGACATTCTGAACCCTCAGCTGCCAATGTACTAATAACTAACCTTATTCCCCTTTCCCAACTGCCTGTTCTCTTACCCACACCCACCTCAATTTTACCCTCCTCCAATGTCCCACTCTAGATGTACCCACACTTTTCACTCTGCCCTCTGAACTGCCAGATCTGTAATTAACACATTTCCTTTCATCCTAAATCTTTTCCCTTCTTATGCCATATTTTAATGCCTATACTTTCTCCCCTTTCACTAATTTCGTAAATATTCTACAATCTAACTTCTGAACTCATCATTCAACTGATAGTGCCCTCTCCAAAGTGACCAGGGCTCTCTTAATTCCTATCTCTGGACCATTGCTCACTGAAAAGATAAGATTTTTTTTTTTTAGTAAATAAAGGTCAGTTGTATAGTATCAGAAATGGCTCTGACATTTCAAACTGCGACATACCATTAGAAAATCAGTGAGAGCTTGTGGGGAGCCTACAAATAAGGAGAAAGTAAGAGATTCTGGGAGCCCCTTTTTCACAGAACTTATTTCTGAACACAGTCTATCTCCCAAATAATTTTATAGTACTGATAAAACCAGGCTATTTTGGCAGGGCTTGCCAGTTTCTACCTACAAATGCCAGTGAATCAAATAATACTTCTCCAAGATAATCAGAATAAAAATGGGTTGACTGCCTCATACGTGCTAATGCTTCACACTCCAATATGATGAACTCATTCCAGACCTTTCAAAGATCTTACTCATTTAACAGTTGCCTTTACAATACAAGATTTGGATAAACAAATTTCCTTCTGACTTATCTATTTGCTCCTTCAGAGAAACACTGTTCCCATTTTTTGCTAATCCCAGGCACAACAGAGCTGGCTATTGCTTAAGCGACTATACTTGTCCAACTTGAGGAAGCTAAGTTAGCATTCAGAAATGCTTTCACCATCTTTCTGCTTGGCCACATTCCCTTTACTGACATAGTCATTGCACCAGGGTATTATTCAAAAGAGGAGCTGTTATTACAGAAAAGAAAAAGTCAGGACTTTCAATCCTGTTATGACATTAAAAGTACAATGAGCAGAATTATATTCAAAGTCAAACACAAGTGAAAAGAAAGTGTGGCTTTGATGTCTTCCAATGAAGAAGCTTTAGAATAAGCTACCTAGAGCAGACACTAAAAGGGATTACCATCCTCCTTCACACCCCATTCATCCAACTGACCAAGAGCAAACATTAACATGAAATAGAAGAGCAGATATTGGGTTTTCATGGCACAGAAAAGACAGATAATGATTGGAATGGGGCTGAGAAGTCAAAGGAAAACAACAACCACCATGAAGATGCTGTAGCTGTTATCTTGTGACCTTTCCAAGATCACACAAGTAGAAAGTGGCGGAGCCTGGAGAAAAAGGCACTTGAGCAACAATTAAGATGACATACCAGAGACTTAAAAATTAAACTACTATTAAACTATTTAATAGAAACTACTAAAATAAAGAAGTAAAAGGGTCTCCGGTCTCCCTCCATCATCCAGAAAGCTCTGCTTTCCAGAATGACTCATACTCAGGGTAGGTTTTATTACAGCCTGATTCTCAATTCCAGCTATCTCCACTGCCAAAAGTTTGACGCTAAGCTTTATTTGAGCTACTGTACGCTCATCTTCTAATAATCAGTCAACAAGCTTTATCAAGGGCCTACTATGTGCCAGGTACTATGCAATATACTGGAGATACAAATATAATAAATGAAACAATACCCACTGAAAGCCTGTATTATAATGACGATTATTATTATTGTTGGTCATATCACCTGAAGATCAAAAATCTCCAATGGCTCCCTATTACCTTTAGACTAGAATCAACTTCAAATTTGCATGCCAATGGATCTCTCTTGCACCTTCCCCTCACTGGTGCACTGGTGTCTTATTCCTTTGCTACATTGTAAGCTTCGTGACAAGGGACCACCTCTTATCTAAACTTTATATCACTCCATCCCCTGGCACAATACTTTGCTTTCAATGGAAATGCTTTGCACATTTAATAAATGTGTATTGAATGTTGTTGAATAATAACATGGTCTTCCTCCAGCATTATCTAGGAGTGAATTTGTTTCATCTACACAAGTTAGATCATCCAAAGTTTACCCCTCCAAGCGCCAAAACTTTTTTTAAATTAACTATTATTGATGTAAATTTTTAAAAAGTGTATTACATACACTTTCCAGTCTTTTTAAATAGACTGCAATGAACATAAGTTAACCTTTTCTTAATGACTCAGCATCATCTTATGAACATGCTGCAAGACTGAGAAACAGGAGCCCTAGTTCCAGTCCAACCCAGTCCCCGGTATACTAACTCCCTGGATTACTTTCAGCACTTTGACTGATCTTTCTGAGTCTCAGACTCTTCATCTGTAAAACTGGAGAGGTGAGGTATTTAAACTCTATAATCTCTAAGGTCACTTCCAGCTTTAATATTCTTCTTCTTTTTCTAACTTATGGAATAAAACAAGCATTTCCATAACATAATGTAATAATAATAATGAAAAAAAGATAATTGCACATGAAACTACAAAGCTATTATATAAACTTGCTATTCCTTTTACTTTAATATTTTTTAAGACTCTGATTCTCTCCTATTATTCTCTCTCTCTTTTTTTTTTGGGGGGGGCGCTAAGCAATGGGGTTAAGTGACTTGCCCAGGATCACACAGCTAGTTGAGTGTTATGTGTCTGAGGCAGGATTTGAACTCAGGTCCTCCTGAATCTAGGGCCCGGTGCTCTATCCACTGCATCGCCCAGCTGCCCCTATTATTCTCCTTAAGGGCAAGGACTTGTTTTTCTATTTGTATCCTCGGCACTTAGTATAGTGCTTTGAACACAGTAAGTGCTGACTAAACGCTTCATTCATTCATATGGAAGAGTTCTACTTTCAAGCTTCTTTGTCACCTTGTCAATTGCCATGTCTGCTCCTGGGAACATCTACCAGCAATAAATGGTTCTTCTTCTTTTCTGTCTCTCCCCTCCCCTCCCTTCCCCTCCCGTCTTTTAAATAAGCCACTGCTTCTGATCGGCTAGGAGCTGGAAAACCAAGTAACTCAGGCTGTCAAAGATTGTGCATTATTATAATATGCTACATTGGGATTGTGGACCATTACAAACACCTTGGAAAGCAATATGACAATAAGCACAAGAGTCACAAAGCTGACCATGTTCTTTAAACCACTGATTCCACTGCTAAGACTTTATTCTAAAAAATATCTTTAAAAGATGGGGTGGGGAGGAAGGAAGAGGAAAAAAGCCCTATGTTTTTAAAATATTCACTACTGCTTTATTTGTAATAGCAAAACACTAGAAATAACCTATATGCCAAATGAGAATGGCTGAATAAATTGTGGTATATTCCTGTAATAGAATATTATAGAGCCATAAAAATGGTAAATATGACGCAGATAAGAAAATACGTTAGTTAAAACCTATATGAAGTGCTGCAAAGTGATGTCAGTAGAAGTGAAAGTGTACATACACTCATTACAGCTGAGGATATAAAAAGGAAACATGGAAATGGAACTTCAGACAGATTTGGAAGGAAGCAAGAGCCAAGGGATTTTTGTTTGGTGCCTCCTAATTTCCTTGGTTCTGACTTGTTAAATGCTACCAGTTTTTTTGGTAGATTTTACTTCTTATATGTTATTTATTTTTTTATTTAGTTAGTTTTTAACCCCCCTCCCCCCGCTACATGTGAAAACAATTTTAAACATTTGTTTTTAAAACTCTGAGTTCCAAATTCTCTCTTTTCCTGCCTCCCCACTCCCTCCCCTCATTCAGAAGGCAAGCAATTCCATGCAGGTTATATATGTGTAGTCATGCAAAACATATCTATAATAATCATGTTGTGAAAGAAAATATAGACAAAAAAACTTCAAGAAAAATAAAGTGAAAAAAAATATGTTTCAATCTGCATTCAGATGCGATCAGTTCTTTCTCTGGAGATGGATAGCATTCTGCATCCTAAGTCCTTCAAAGTTGTTTTGAATTGTTGTGTTGCAAGAATAGCTAAGTCATTCATGGCTGATCATCTTACAATATTGCTATTGCTTTGTACCCGGTACATTTCGCTTTGCATCAACCCATGCAAGTCTTATATGTTATTTATTTGTTGATGGGTATTAAGTTTATAATCAAACAGATTTTGAAAAAAGAATCTTGCATTCATTAAGAGTCAATTGGAAAAAAAGAATGTTAAAAATTTTTTTTTATAGTAACTGAGAAGGAAAAAAAAGAGGAAAAATAAATAGCCCCCCCTGGGCAACAGAGCCTTTGTTGTTCAGTCGTTTCTTGTTTTGTTTTGTTGTTATTCAGTCATTTCAGTCGTGTCCGCCTCTTTGTGACCCCATTTGGGGTTTTTTTGGCAAAGATACTGGAGTGGTTTGCCATTTCCTTCTCCAGTTCATTTTACAGATGAAAAAACTGAGGCAAACGGGGTGAAGTGACTTGCCCAGGATCACACAGCTAGTAAATGTCTGAGGCCAGTTTTGAACTCAGGAAGATGAGTCTTTTTGACTCCAGACCCAGTGCTCTGTCCACTGTGCCACCCAGCTGCCCAAGAGAGCCTAAGGACCTCTATTCCTTTAGGAAACAATAAAGCCACAGGGCAGGGGAACCAAAATTTTCAAAGCTCAGGAACCTTGTTCCCTGTCTTTCAGGTTCCAGGCAATATTGAAAATGGCTGAAAGTTCACCAGTTACGACTTCAGGACAAGTAAGAGCATTACTGTAAATTCTGCTTGTCTATCACTCTAAATACTTTTCATATCTCATTTGATGCAAGATCCTCACAACCACTCAGTGAGGTAGGTAGGGCAGTTGGATGACATCAGGCATCGTAACAATTGGGGAAAGTAAGGCTTAATGAGGTCAGTAGACTTGTCCAAGGGATAAGGACTAACTGTTACCCAGTAGGGGCAGGGGTAGAAATCCACATCTTCATGCTAAGCAGTAAAAATAGCACTGGAGTTGCAGGCAGAGGAAACATGGGTTCAAGTCCTTACTTTGGGTGAGTCACTTATGTCCCTTTTCTATGCCTTAGTTTTCTTATTTGTAGAGTGGGACTAAGCAAGCATACTATAGTGAATAAAAAAGCCCACTGTGAATAGCCTTAGGAATATAGTGAATATATCTAGTGAATAGAGTTAGGAAAATCTGGATTCAGGTCCTGCTACATACTGTGAGACATAAGGGAGTCACCACTTCTCAGTACACCCACCAGGCCTCTCTCATGAACCTGACTCACAAAAAAGTTACCTGCTCGAAGGACCTCCCCTCATTGAAAAAGTCACTGGTACTCCCTCACCCCATCCCAATATACAAAAATGTCATTTGTATCTCCATCAATCTATGATTCTTTTACAGTTACCACCGGTCTTTCTACTATATATCACACACTCTATTCACAAGCCTCTGGTATAAGAAGTGAGAAAATGCACTTCCTTCTCTTCTTTGCCAGAGCAGGGTACTCTAGATATGGAATACTTCATACACTGTTTGATTCAAGTGAAGCGCTAATTGGGTTTCCTGAACTGCTTTTCTCTCCCCTCTTTGATTTTTATCCTTTGTTACAAGGGATGACTCACTGAACAGGGACAGGGAAAAAAGATTTAGTCAGAAATGAAGGTGTTTAAAAACAAAAGATAGCAATAAAAGTGGTGGGAAAAAGGCACAGAGTCTCAGATGAACAGCACCCCCAGAAGAGTCCAATGACATATCTCTAAAGCAAGTAAAGTCAATCTAGGGGGAGGGGGGAAGGAGGGGAAGTGCCCTTTTTGCAGTATAAAAAACCAACACCTGAAACAAAGAACCCTGTTGAACTTATTGATATTAAAAGCTTGCCCTTGTAACCTACCACTTTACCAACCCTTAGCCTGGCAGTAAATGAAATTCCCTTTGAAGTCAAAACCCAACTCAAAGCCATTTTCCACTTTCTACATTTTGGAAGAAAAAAAGCCAAGTTGTACCAAAATGTCCCATCACATTAAGAACGTCTGCCATGCACAGGGTTGGCTCATGAGGCTACTTCAATGCAATGACTGACCTTTAGAGCCAAGCTAAAGGGAGGTACCACAAGCTCCAGGTCTCTACCAATTCCTTTGTCTTCCACTGCATTCCTGATGCAATGTAACCCAGAGCAGCTATGGGACAATGAAGTTCACATCTATATCACCAAAAGAGAGAACATTCACCACCTTTCTTCAAATCAATTTGCTTTAACAAATGTTTATTAAGCATCTATTGAACATTTATTAAATGCCTACTATGTGCAAGGTCCTTGGCTGGGAGGTGACATGATGGGGAAAGGGAGATAGCAATGGTCCTGCTCTTATACAACATGGGAAGAGGGGAAGGAGACAATCAATAAATAACATTTATTATCCACAGTTTACAGTAGAAACTGAGACCAAGAGTGATTAAATGACACACCCAGCTGGTGTGTAACGTAATATTTGAACTCAGGTCTTGGGAATCAAAGTCTAGTGCTCTACTCACTGCACCATCTAGCTGCTCAGGTACTAAAATGTGTTATCCTGGGCAAGCCAGGATCTCTTAATCTCTCAGAGCTTAACACAATTCTCTAAGACTACAAGTTGCAGAAAAGGTTCTAATTGGCCCACACTGGTAAATGGAGTTTCTCGCCTGGGAGTTTTCTGTAGCAATGAAATCATGGGTCTAGTGCCTATAAGAAAAAAACAAACTTCCTAATAAACAGAACTCCACAAAAATAGAATGGGCTATCTTTTGGGAGATAATATATTCTCTATCATGGGGGGTCATCAAGGGGAGGCTGAATAACCAATTATCAAAAACAAATATCAATCCAGGATGACTCCTGAGGACCCTTCCAACTCTAAAATTCTTCGGGTCTATGATTCTAGGGCCTCCTGGATCCCCAGCCCTAGAATTCTAGCCCTAGAGCCAGATTAAGTTCTATTTCTAAAACAATTCCACCATATGGCACAGCAAGATAGAACCACATCAATAATAAATCAGGACCAACAGACCAGCCATTTTGCTTCTTTGATAAAAATGCATAAGGCAGCAGAACCTGATATGTTCTGTCCTGCTTAACAGAACACTTTGATATTTAGGTGGCTCTGTGGGTGTTCTCGCTACTTGTACAGATTGCAACCCAGTTATATTTTCCTAGCCTGGCTCAATGGAAAAAGTGTTGGATATGGAATCAGAAGACTTTAGCTCAAACATTGGCTCTGTAACTCTGTGACCTTGGGCAAGTCACTTACATTCCCTTGGCCTCAGTTTTCTTATCTGTAGGCTGACGGAATTGGGTTAGATGACATCTGAGGACCCTTTCATCTCTACAGCCCTTATGCTCTTCTTGTCCTAAATGATCTTAAGCAGCCCATGCAGATTAGAAGTAACATAATCTATAATTTCAAAGAGCAGTGAGCTATGAAGATACAGAGATATGAAGGCAATGGGGCTATGGATAGAGCATGGACTTTGAGTCTGGAAGACCTGAGTTCAAATTTTACCTCAGACACTTACTAGTTGTGTGACCCCTGGGCAAGTCACTTCACTCTCTCAGTTTCCTCATCTGTAAAATGGGGGTAATCTCCTATTCTTGTTGTAAGGATCAAATGGGATCACATGTAAAGAGCTTTGCAAATCTTAAAGGACTATATAAATGCTTGCTATCATGTGTTCGGTGGAGGAAAACCTCCCAGTGGGGGACAAGGTGCAAACACAGTGAAATAATACTGCTAAATGCAAGGCATATGTAACCTTGACCTCTTTTTCTGTTGCCCATTGATGAAAAAACATTCAGGAACCCTGAACAATGAAAGTACCAAGCAAGAATGCTGAGGTGACATCTTTCCAGAGACTAGCAGAAAGCAGGTCTGGATAAGACTTGGCCCTCACCTGTGAACAACATTACAGGATGGGGTCTACAAAAGGACAGCTGAACTGTGAGGAAGTCTGGGAGATTTATCAACTTAGTTTAAGCGAAAGGAATCTCAATTATTTTTTGTGAGGGAATAACTTTCTTCTTCCATTAACGGAAAACAAGTCTGTTATTTTTTATGGTATGTTTGATAGTTGACACAGTAAAAGTATAATAACAAAATTCCAGAATCAAATCAATCAATTTATTACCTGGTTCTTGCATATCAGGCACCAGAGAGGTAGTGGGGATGTAAAGGCAGGAGTGGATAAAATCCCTGTCCTCATGGCGCTAGGGACAATAAGAAGTATGTGACTTTAGAGGTTCCTAGAACTAATTCCGTAAAACTCTTTCCTGATCTGTTAAATGGAAGAGGAAAGGACTAAATGGTCCCTGAAGTCTATTCTATTCTAGATCCATGAATCTATGAGGTAGAAATGAAGGAAAGCCGTCCAGACATGGAGGCTACCACGTGCAAAGATGTGGATGGAGAAGATGGAATACTACATGGGCAAAACTGCAAGTGGGCCAGCCAAGGAAGGGGTAGGATAGCCACAAAGCAGTAGAGGCCTAAACAGGAACTATCTGGGGACCCGTCCCTCAAGAGTTATAAAAAAGTTACCCAGTTATACCTAGGTGTTTGCACATTGGAGGACTCATGATTTCACTGCTCTGGGTATGCTCTCCAATGATACAGTCCCTCCCCATAGTGTGAGATTCTTAAGCATTCCCCCCCCCCCGAAATTCTCTATATGAGGATTGTGGAAAGCCAAACACACTAACAAAGTGATGACAAGAGCTGAGAATTGATATTGCCATTCTGGAAAGCAATTTGGAATGATGTTAAAGTCACTCAAATGTCCATACCCTTTTATCTAGAGATTCCATTACTAGGTACACACACCAAGAAGGTCAATGATAAAAAAACAAAGGTCCCACATACATGAAAATATTTATAGCAGCACTTTTTTGTATTAGCAAAGAGCAGAGTAGATATTCACTGATTGGGGAATGGCTAAACGAGCTATGGTTACATGAATGTAATGGATCCTGTAGCATGAGAAATGATGATTATGAGGAAACATGGGGAAGCCTACGTGAACTGATGAGGAGTGCAGTGAGCAGGACTAGGAGGCTAAAGGCCAGGAAAATATAATGACCAAACTTGGCCCCAGAGAAGGGATACAATAGGTCCTCAGCTTCTCTTGAGAGGTAAGGGACTTTACATCTATTGTCAGACTGTTTCAATGTAGGGGTTATTTTTGTTAAACTAGGTTTTTTCTTTTTTATTCTTTGTTACAAGAGATAGTTCTCTGGGAGGTAGCACAGGGTACTATAAATGCCATGAAATCGGGGGTTCAATTTAACCCTGTTATTTCCCTGAAACTATGAAGTTCAATACACAATCAGCACTTGAATTCAATTACAAAGGATAGGGAGATAGCAGTAAAAAGCTGAGGTAGTTTAGATTATCTAAATACCAGATAGAAGAACACAGGATGACTATCAGGCATTACAGTCCCCTTCCCCTACCCTCTATCAGACCTTCCCTGCGCCTTGAGTTTAGAGTACCTACAGAAAACAACAACCACAACAAAAACCGAATATGGCGTGATTGGTAGTGACCAGGTTTGTGCTTCCCTGAATTCTTTGCAGAAGGTGGGCGGTGAAGATGGGTGTGGAACAGTGAATTCGACTGATGTGCTGTTAGTTTTACAGAATTGCTTCCTTTTTCCCTCTGTCCTTTTTATTCTTTATCACAAGGACTCATTTGGTAAGGGAAGGGGAATGGATATCCTTAGAAATGAAGGCAATATACAAACAAAAGCTCAATACAAATTGAAGTCAAATTAAAGGGATCCCTGTTTGGAACAGATCGGTGAAGACTGTTGCTACTTCAACTGTCTCCCTTACTTTACCTGGCATTCTAGCATCTAATTTACAGCAGGGACAGGTTGGCAGAATGGAAAGAGCATTGACTTTGGAATCAAGATCTAGGTTCAACCAACCCTGCTGTTTGTTACCCTGTGACCTTGGCTTCTATGAGCCAACCCTCTCAGCCTCTGTTTCCTCATCTGTGAAATAAAGGGGCTAGACTAGATCATCTGTAGGGTCCCTTCCAGCTCCATGACTATACAAAAAACTCTTTTCTAGATGAAAGAGAGGAGACTCTGAGAACTGAAGGGACTTTTCCAAGGTCATACAGCCAATCACTTATTAATTTAACCTACAGAATCACTCTTCCTCTGGGGCAATCATAATGCTTTGCTCCATGTTGTTGATATTGATCAGTCATGTCTGATTCTTGATGACCCCATTTGGGGTTTTCTTGGCAGAGATATTGAAGTGGTTTGTCATTTCTTTCTCCAGCTCATTTTTACAGATGAGGAAACTGAGGCAAACAGGGTGAAGTGACTTGCTCAGGGTCACACAGCTAGGAACTGTCTGAAGCCGAATTTGAACTCAGGAAGATGAATCTTCCTGACTTCAGGCCCAGCACTATCCCTTGGGCTACCTAGTTGCTCTATGTAAAGTGCTTGAAAAACTTTAAAGCACTTAGGCCTGTCAATTTAGGTCTATTATTATTCTTAGAAGAAGTAGTATCCTCCTATTAGAGGTAGGTGAAGAGGATGATGGGATTTAGAGCCAGCAAGGCCCCTCTTAGAGAGCTTCTGTTTCAGACCTCCTCATCTTACAGATGAAAAGAAAGAAGGAATTGACATCACCCAGGTGGTGGGTCACAAAGCTGGGATTTGAACCCAAATCCCAAATCCTCATAAATGCAAACCCCATGTTCTTTCCACTGCCCCCACTGCCTGCCTCTCCACCTTTCCCTCTTCTAGCATGCCATGCCATTCTCAGTGCCTCCTCCCCCTGCCTCCTTCTAGGGCAACCTGGGCCAGGGAGCTGGGAGTCTGCCAATGACCCATCTGCATATCACTTTTCTATTTATTGTTGTCTTGTGCTTTCAGAGTTCTGCTACTGGTGAAGTCATTTCCCAAGCCTGGCTTCCTGACAGTCAGCAAAACTTGAGTGTGAGGAGCTGGCTGCAAAAAGGGTCACATTCATCCCTCGGGTTTTCCACCTCCTTCCTCTCCTGCTTCCCTTTTCCAGGATCAGCCACAGTGAGGAATCATTCCACATGCCTAAGATGGTCTTGATTCAGTCTTCACTGGGACTGAATAGAGTTGGAGTCAGGTTCTGGATAAGATACCTTATTCCCATCAAGTATCCATTATCCGAGGAAAGGATTGGAACTCAGTCCAAATCTTTGTAGAGAAAACCAACATGCTATAGTGAAAGCAGATGTCCTGAGCTTGGAATCATGAAAGCCTTAAGTTCAAATACAGTCTGCCTCTGACATTTACCTGCTATATGACCTTGGGCATATCACTTAAATTCTGAACCCTGGTTTTATCATCAGTAAAATGGACCTTAATCATCGTATCTATTAGTATTGCTCTTACTACATGGCTGTTAAGGAACAAATGAGGTAATGTCACTGCAATGTTCTTTAAAACTTTAAGTGCTATTTTTAAAGCAAGTTTCTAGGGGGCAGCTAGGTGGCACAGTGGATACAGCACTGGTCTCAGAGTCAGGAGGACCTGAGTTCAAATCCAAGCTCAGACACTTAGTAGTCAGTCGGTGACCCCTGGCAAGTCACATAACCCTGAATACCTCAAAAAAAAAGTGAATTTCTGTTATCTAAAAAAACTCAGCTCAAGTCTGGGCTGTCCTTGTTATGTATGGCAGCAGGAAACAATGAGAATGGAGAAAGACTGCTTCTGTTTTTCTCTTGGAAGCGTGAATTCTATTCTATTCCTCTACTTTTAACTAGCCACAAGGACCCTTTACACTTTGCTGTTGGCTTCCTTTCCCCCTAGAAAAACAAATTCCTGAGGGATCTGGTCAGGCAGCGCTATTCCCCTCCAAGCACTCAAGAAGCCAGACAAAACTGACTTCTCTATGTAGTCTGGGTTGGAGAGGACAGCCATGGTTGAAAGAGGAATGAAAAGGGCTCCAACCCATTTTGATTCTTTCCTTCTCACTTCGATACCCTGCTACTTCTATCTCTTAAATGGGGAAATCTCACCTACTAAAATCAGGCTCTTAGAGCTTGAAGGCATTTTAAAGACCAAGATTTACAAACCAAGGCCTAGAGGATGCAATTTGCCAAATCCTTGCTGTTTATAGATATGGAAACTGAGGACCATAGAAATTGAGTGAATTTCCCACAATGACACAGGAAGTTAGTGGCGATGCTACAAGCAGATATAGAGCTGAAAGGGACCTCACATAGTCCAGCCTTTTATTTTAGGATGAGGAACCTGAAGCTGGGAGGAGTCACATGGGTACTAAGTAGCAAGGCCAGGATTTGAATCCCAGCCCTCTCTTCCACTCTGCCTCACCTCTGGAATCTAGACCTAATCATCTCCAGTCCAATGTTCTTTCTACTGTGCAACACTGCAGCCTACTTCTCAAGCAATGATTTCTTCACAAAAACCATGGGGTCTGAGAACCAACCAGTAAATTATCAGCACTAAAGATCAGATTCTCTCTCTCTCTCTCTCTCTCTCTCTCTCTCTCTCTCTCTCTCTCTCTCTCTCTCTCTCTCTTCTCTCTCTCTCTCTCTCTCTCACACACACACACACACACACACACACACACACACACACACACACACACACACACACACACACATATACAGCCCTATTCTGTGAAAAGGAAACCTCAGTAAGGGAATCTGGCAGTGTTTGTGTATGTGTGTGTGTGGCAAGAAATGAGATGAGGAGTTCTGAATTTTCAACAGGGCCTGGCAAAGGAAGATAGATGCTGTGGGCTTGAGGACAGCTGCTAAATAATAGATTATCTGGGGAGGTCTGAGGCTGCCTCACAATGAGTGATTTAATCCTAATGAAACTGGAGAGCTCTCTGCTCAATACCACTAAACTTCCTGCTTCAAAGGCCTTGGAAGTCCCAATGCAACGAGATCCTACCCTGCAATCAGCCAACCTGCCTGGACCACTCTGTAGCTCTTGTCCATCTATCTGCCTTTAGCAGTCACAAAGACCACTCAAGCAGCATGGCCATTGCAAGGTGGAATGGGACAGGAGCAAAAGAAGACAGCTAAAATTGGAAAGGCCCTTCTGGGTAATTTAGTCCAACTCACTCTTAGAAAGTTTTTTACAGAGTTACATAGTTTTACAGAGAGGGAAACTGAGACTCAGAGAGGTTAGGGAATATACCCATATTTATACAGCAAAGATACCAGAGTGGTTTGCCCTTTCCTTCTCTAGCTCATTTTACAGATGAGGAAATTGAGACAACAGGATAAAGTGACTTGTTCAAGGTCACACAGCTAGCAAGTGTCTTGAGACCAGATTTGAACTCAGGAAGATGAGTCTTTCTGATGCCAGATCTAGTGCTCTATCTACTGCACCACCTAAGTGTCATGATGAGACCCTAGAAAACTCATGTAAACTCTCAGTGCCCCAAGCAATTTCTATGAGACTATAGGTTGTTGAATGATTTCTGATTTATACTGGTGGAGGAAGTTTCCTCAAAGGGACTTTTCTATATCAATAAAATCAGACACATAGACTTCAGAGAGAGAGAAACAGACAGACAGACAGAAACAGACAGAGAGAGAATCTTAAGTGTTAAGGCTGGCCAATGAGCAGGACCCAGAATTGAACAGGAGGAGAGAATGCCAGACCACATTTAGGCAGCTTCACAACACAAGGTTTTCAATGATCTCAAGCTATTCCATGACACAAAAGTCCTTCTCTTTAACAATATCTTCCCAGTGATGCTATATAGCTATGAATCATGAAACATCAGGATCAAAGAAGAATCAAAATTACAAGTAACCCAAAAGGGCAATGATAAGGCTGCATGGTGGGTGTTAAGTAGGCTGCAGCATATTGCCAATGATGACTTGTGAGTGTAAGAAGTGAGAAAGACGACACTATCAGAGATATGTGTGACCAGAAAGGGAGGTACACTGGTTATGAGGCACAACAGATGGACAGCCTGGCTGCGACACGATTACCCGAAGACACTGAAGGAACCAGAGGAAGGCCTGCAGCATATTGAGCACATCATTTAAGGAGTATTTATGGAAAGCCAGGATGGGACTCAAACAGGATGAGAAGGCATGGAGGGATTGCAATTTATACCAGCAGGAGGAGTGCTCACATGTATAAGTAGATCACAGATCCATGCAAGAATAAGATCATCAACAGCAACTGATAATAATCGCAACTGACACCTATATCCAACTTTGCAAAGTCTTATTTGAGCTAATAATTATGGAAGTGTACCATGTTAGTCAAAGGACTACCAGCTATGATGTCATGGGAAACAACTCCCACTAGATTAAGTTAGAAGACCTCAGTTTGGAGACTAGATCTTCTAATTATTAGCTGTGAGAACCTGGGCAAATCACCTGCCTTCTCTGGGCCTCAATTTCTCTTTCCTCTTTACTTTTTCATGCTTTTCTTGAGTCTGATATTTGAAAGTCAAATTTTCTATTCAGCTCTGGTCTTTTCATCAAGAATGCTTGAAAGTCCTCTATTTCATTGGCCCCTGAAGGATTACACTCAGTTTTGCTGGGTAGGTGATTCTTGGTTTTAATCCTAGCTCCTTTGACCTCCAGAATATCATATTCCAAGATCTCTGATCCCTTAATGTAGAAGCTGCTAAATCTTGTGTTATCCTGATTGTGTTTCCACAACATTTGAATTTTTTTTCTGGCTTCTTGCACTATTTTCTCCTTGACCTGGGAACTGTGGAATTTGGCTATAATATTCCTAGGAGTTTTCCTTTTGGGATCTCATTCAGGAGGTGATTGGTGGATTCTTTCCATTTCTATTTTACCCTCTGGTTCTAGAATATCAGGACAGTTTTCCTTGGTAATTTCTTGAAAGATGATGCCTTAGCTGTTTTTTTGATCATGGCTTTCACACAGTCCCATAATTTTTAAATTATCTCTCCTGGATATATTTTTCAGGTCAGTTGTTTTTCCAATGAGATATTTCACATTGTCTTCTATTTTTTTCATTCTTCTGGTTGTGTTTTATAACTTCTTGATTTCTCATAAAGTCACTAGTTTCCATTTGCTCCATTCTAATTTTTAAGGAAGTATTTTCTTATGTGAGTTTTTGGAGTTCCTTTTCCATTTGGCCAGTTCTGCTTTTTAAGGCATTCTTCTCCTCCCTGGCTTTTTGGATCTCTTTTGCCATTTGGGTTGGTCTATTTTTTTAAGGTGTTATTTTCTTCAGTATTTTTTTGGGTCTCCTTTAGCAAGCTGTTGACTTGTTTTTCATGATTTTCTTGCATCACTCTCATTTCTCTTCCCTATTTTTCCTCTACTTCTCTTACTTGGTTTTCAAAATCCTTTTTGAGCTCTTCCATGGCCTGAGACCAATTCATATTTTTCTTGGAGACTTTGGATATTGGAGTTTGACTTTTGTTGTCTTCCAATTGTATGTTTTGATCTTCTTTGTCACCAAAGTAAGATTCTATAGTCTTGAGTTTTTTTTCCACTTTTCGCTCATGTTCCCAACCAATTACTTGACTTTTTAACTCTTTGTTAAGGTAGGGCTCTGCTTCCAGTGCAGACATGTACTGTACCAAGCTTCAAGGGATTTTGGTAGCTGTTTTCAGAGATATTCCTAGGGACCTGTAAATTTTTAGTTCTTCCAAGGTGGTATGATCAAAGGTGAGGTGTTTACTCCTTTCCTAGACTGTGCTCTGCTCTATGAGTGACCACAAGCACTCTTTTCTGCCTTGGAAATATGAGGAGGACTCCCTATTTACTGCTGCCACAAGCTCCACCAGTGCTCCTCCTTGCCCCAGGACTGCCACCGAGGACTGCGACCCAGATCCAAGCATGGGCAAAGCAAGAGAATCCTGCCTTAGTGCCAGCAAAGAGATCCCCCTGCAATCCTCCTCTGATCAGCTGCTTGTGCCCCCAATGTTTGTGGGCTGAGAGGTCCAGAAGCAGCTACCAACCTCGCCCCAGAGATGCACCAGGGCTGGGGCCAGATGCTCCTCTCTCACCCAGGTCCAACGGACCTTTCCTACTGACCTTCTAAGTTTTTTTTGGCATTCAGTCCCCTAAGGCCTGTTTCAGGCTTGCTGGAGCCCCATCTTTGCCTGGGTGGCCCATGCTGAACTGCGCTCCTCTACCAGCCCAACGCAAGAGACCTTTCCCATCAACCACCCAGTTTGTCTTGAGCTGGAAATTTGTTTAACTCTGTCTTTTTGTGGGTTCTGCTGCTCTAGAATTTGTTTAGAGGAATTTTTTACAAGTATTTGGAGGAGTTTGAAGGAGAGCTCAAGCAAGTCATTGCTTTTACTCTGCCATCCTGGTTCTGCCCCCTAAAAAGGGTTTT